TCACTTAGTATGAACAGCTGCTCAGCTTTCTGACCTAAGATGAACTAAAGTTAATAATCAGCATGCCACTGAACCAAATTTAAATTTTAAAAATGGAACTCTTTCAACCAGAAGATTTAATTTCATCAAGCTTCTACACTGCATACTAGCAGTTAACTTAAATGCTCTGCAATGACTAAAACCTTAAGCACATGTGGTTAAAAAGTTCAATCAGCTGGTGTTCAGTGCTACTGAAGATGAGAAAGACAGCCAGCAACCAAGACCACACATTTCAATACAGTAATAAATTATGACTCATCTCAGTAATTGCCTGTTACTCTGGGTTATGCATAAGCAGCTCCTTCAAAAGACTTCCCAAAACACATAAACATTTGCATTGAGATGATCATTTGCATCTCAAACCACAGAAACTACTGTCTTAAAGTTAATACAATCTCAACTAAAAAATATGAAAATGCTTAATAAAAAGTTTGCCTCATTTTTAAATGTTTCCTGTTAAAAGATATTTATAGAAACAAACTGACATTTTAGTGTAAATAACATAACATCCATCTATCATAAAAAATAAAATATTTGCTACTATAAATCTGGCATACCAATGTAATTAATTTAAAAAACAGGCAACTGTAGCTCAGTACTTATGTCTCAAAGTGTTTATGCGCAGATTTTGAGCAAGGTCAGGCAGACACAAGTTGAATGTACCATACAATTACGAAGAGGTAATACTTTTGGCAGGGTGAAAAAGTGGGCAGCAAGTCAAGAGTTACCTATTATACTGGACCAAGAAATCTGTTTGCTATTTAATCTTATTTAAAACCCATTATGCTAAGCAAAATAAGCCAGGCTGTGAAAGACAAATACCATATGACCTCACCTTTAACAGGAACCTAAACAACAAAACAAAGAAACAAGCAAAATATAGCCAAAGACACTGAAATAGAGAACAGACTAACAGTGTTCAGAAGGGAGAGGGGAGGGAATTTCAGGGGAATTTCAGGGGAGAATGGGAAGGGTTTACAGGAACAAATATAAAGGGCATATGGACAAAAACTAGGGGGGTGGAAATGGGAGGGAGGTGGGGAGGGAGGGGTTGGTGGGCTGGGATGGGAGTAAAGGACAGAAAACTGTACTTGAACAATGATTAAAATAAAATTAGAAAAAGAAAAAAGAAAAAATAATAAAACCCATTCCTTTTCCTCTAATTTGGTGAGATCATAGAATTCTGGATGGGAAGGCGCCTTCAGGATAAAGTAGTTGATTACTTTGGCCTTGGATTGAGCTCTTGAGAGCAAGCGACTTGTGGTTACAGCTGGCTGATGGCAGAGATGGGTCGAGAACTCAGATTTGAGAGTCCTAACAAGTCAGGTGGTTAGCGTCATGGCAAAGGCCATTGTGTACTGGTCTCATTTCTACAGAAACACCTAACTGGGGAGTTCCTTCCAACCCCCTTCATGGGTGAAACTGACTTGCCTGCTCCACTTCGGAACACTCTCTTCCACATATTTCTCACACCTTCCTGAATTCCAAAACATAAAGCTACCTCACCTACAACCAACTCCTAAGAGAATATTACCCAGGGACAACTTCCAAAATCATGCTTGCTACGCTCAAACTTCAAGAGGACTATTAAAATAAACCGCGTTGCTAAGGAAATTAAAAAGAAATAATAGAAAAAGATTTCTTAAAATTATATCTTGATCTTAGGGGGCCCATTCCAGTCTTATACACTGACAACTCAGTTATTAACAAAATGTTGAATGAGGTGTAAATAAGGTCAGAGATTGCAACAGCACATGTAGAGTGCCTGAGAATTGTTCAGAAAGCTACAGGAGTAAGCAGTATTATTACTCCAGCCAAGGGGTGGTCAGGTGCACTTCCCACCCCCCGAAAGGCGCGCCGTCTGAACTGTGTCGCCTGCAGAGGCCGGAGGGGCTCTAACAGGGACACGCACACGAATTAAGCCCGGGAACCAAGGAGATTCAATTCGCTGAGGGTCACCACGGGCCAGGCAGTGGGAGGGAGAGCCCCTAACCTGCCTTCTCCGCAGCCTCCTCGGCTAAGCCCGCCCGAGCCCCCTGCCCGCTGCCCCCGGGGGGCCGGAACCCTCATACCAGTGAGATAGTTGGTCCACTTGTACAGAACCCCCTCCATGCTTCACAGCCCGGCGCCGCTCATCCTCCTGGCCCGACGCCGGCCGCGGTGATGGGGCGAGCGCGGAGCCTGGACAGCCGCTCCCGGCCCGCCGGGCCCCTTCCCGGGGCGGCCCCGAGCCCCCCTCAGCCCGCGCGCGCCGCGGGTACGTGGCGGGCCCTTAGAGGCCGGGACGACGGCCGCCGCGTGGAACTCGGGGGCCGTGATGCGCGGACTCAGACATCCCCGGTAGAGCTTGGGCGGCGGCGGGGACAGAATAGTAACCGCAGGCGGCCTCCCGCTAGCGCCTCCGCGCCCCAGCTGCTCCCTTCCTAGCCCCGGCAACTCCTTCCTCCTTGCCTGCCTTCCTTCCCCCCGGGCTCCCCGTTTGTTTTCATTGACCCCGACGTCGCTTTCACTTCCTGGTTGAAAGGGGCTGGCAGGTCCCGGGAAACCCCTCCCCGGCGGCGCGGCTGGAGGAGCGGGCGCTGCCGGCTGCGGTCCCACCGCGGGCCCGGGCTGCGCGAGGGCGCGCCGGCGTCGCTCACCCTCAGACTCCCAACCGGGGCGCCCGGCGTCTCCTCATCCTCCCTCCGGCCTGTGGCTGGGGCTCCTTCGGCTCCCGCCGCCGCAGCGCGGACGCACCGGCCGACCGACGCCCAGGGCGGGGACCGAAGCCTCAGGGCCCGGAACTAGCAGACTCGGACCCGAAGCCTACCCAAGGGGGTGGTGACTTAGGTCTCTCAGATTTTCTGTAACTGAGTCTCAGGTTTCTTCTGGTTGCCCCCCCCACCCCCCCACCCCCCACACACACAAGAAAACAAAAGACTTCCAATGTAGGTTTCTTCCCATCCTCACATTCAGGGGGTCGAAAGGTCCCGGGAACGCGGTATGTCACTGAGAGTCCCCTGGCCTGGAGTTACCAGGAGCCCCAAGGAATGAATTGTCGTCTGCCCTAAATGATAGCCACGACTTCATTTAGAATAGAAAACATGGACTCAAACTCTGGAGCTTATTTTATTCTAAAAATGGGGGTTTTCCCCTAGCTTTTATGATTTTTAAAAATCACTTTTGAAAATGATTCCAAATTAGATTTATGGAATTTTGCAGGCTTCAGACAAAGCAGTAACAGTAGGCTCAGTGTTGTGGCTTTTCTTAGGATCCCTGAGGTAGAATAATTTATCCCCTCCCAGAACCTAATTTAGGCCTAAGCATTTCTGGTAAAAAGTCTTTGGGTATTCACTTGGAAATAAGGTGAATTGGTGAATTAATACAGAGATGGATAGTTGGAGAAGTACTAAATCAAGTATAGTTAAACGTTGATAGGCTCCAAGTTGTAGGTGAAAGGCCATGGTAATTGGGTGGTGAAATTCCATTTTTCTGTGTTAGAAAGTTTTTCACTCTTAAACGTGGAGGGGTAAGCCTGGCTTTGTGTCAGACTTGTCAAACCCCTATGCATATGGGCCGTGAGACTGGAACAAAACGCCCAGCACTGAAAGGACACTAAGTCCTCCCTCCTCTTCTGCGTAGTTGGGTGTCTGCTTTCTGCAGTTTCAGTTATAGGAGGTCAACCACGGTCTGAAAACATTAAATGGAAAATTCCAGAAATAAACAACTCGGTTTTTCAATGGTGCCTGTTCTGCATAGCCTAACGAAATCTCCTTCAGTCCTGCTCCCTCCTGCCAAAATACGAACCATCCCTTTGCCCAAGCACATCCATGCTGTGATGATTAGTACAGTAAGATTCTGAGAGACATCACATTCACATAACTTTTATTCCAGTCTGTTGTTTTATTATTATCGTTCATCTCTTACTTGTGTGATTTTTAAATTAATTTTATCATAGGTATTATAGGAAAATATTATAGTACAGGGTCTAGCGCAAAGAACACCCCTTTTTATTACAAAATTTTTTATTACAAAATCATAAGCACGTAATTCTGGAACATAATATCACATTCAAGCACACCATATACATTTTAGGTGAGATGTTCAAATTAAAACTATAAATAATTACACCCATTTTATTACCCTACCGACCACAATCATGCGTTACTTCTGCCAGACCCTGTGTGTAAGGTTCAGTCCTAGCCTGTTTTCACGCATCCACTGAGGGGTCTTGGAACATACTCCCCGCAGTTTAAGGGGGTACAAAGATAAGGGGAGACTACTGTGCCCCGTTGTCTCTTCGTGTGACGTAGATAATTACCGACCTGGCAGAGTTGGTAAGAAAAAGACACTGTCAAGAACTGTCCCCCACCTCTCTACGCCTGCGCTTCTCTAGGCCCTCGAATCAAGGGCGGCCCCCAGTGGTGGGAGCAAGCAACGCAAGCCGGCAGCGGTGCAGAATCGCTGGACTCCGCTCCCGGGGGGAAACTGACCGTGAGGAGCTGCGTATCTGTTTACTCGCGACCGGGAGGTCTTCGGGTTGCGTGTGGCTTTGCCTGGAACTTCTTAAGGCATGACTCCGACCCCGAGAAGGCGCTTCAAGGATACCCCAGAATACCTCTCCCTGCCCGGTAGTTCTCTAGGGATCTGGGCTTCTTTTAAGCCCAGAAGTGACAACCATATTATCTGATTGCACCCCACCCTAGGCCGTTTTATTTCGTCTTTTGCCAGTTTCATTTTAGGAAACGAGAATGTTACGGCTAAACCCTGAGGAAACTGGCTGTAAAATAACCGGACGCAGCGAGGAGAAGCGATGCAAGCGAGCAGTGTTGCCTTAGCGACTGATGATAGTCAGCCAAAAAGTGCCGGGTACCGGAGAGACACGACCCGCCCTAGACCGACAAAATTCCTGGGCTGAGCGGGCCTCCGGGGAAGGGGCAGGGCCGCGCACCGCCCCGCCCCCGACCCTTTGTGTCGCCAAATGATGCTTGCCACGCGTCAATATAATTCAGCTGCCGGGGCAGCCGCCGCGCGTGAGTGACACGCGGGAGGGAACGCAGTAACCATCCGGGCCCCACTCCAGGAATCATGCATTTCTTACTCAGATTAATCTTTTTCTTTTACATATGGGGCATTTTTCCTGCTCAGGGACAAAAGAAAGAGGAGTTCACAGAGGAAGTGAAAATAGAAGTTTTGCATCGTCCAGAAAACTGTTCTAAAACAAGCAAGAAGGGAGACCTGCTAAATGCTCATTATGACGGTTTCTTGGCTAAAGACGGCTCGAAATTCTACTGCAGGTAGGAAATGCAGCGAGTAGCTCTCGCATCTAGTTGATGCGGGAAATCTAGCCTCCCTCCAGCAAGCAGAAGTTAAATGGTTGGTTAGTTGGTTGGTTGGTTGGTTGGTTGGTTGGTTGGTTCCTTTGTTAGTTCGTTGTTCTTGTTTTTTAACAGTGAGAGCTGAACCTTGTGTTCCTAGAGGGAAAATCAGATCAGGTGCAGTAGTTAAGCTGATCTGATTCTATTAAACTGAACATTACTTTCTAAAGTATTAAAAATGTTGGCCGAGAAATTACCAAAAATACACTGCACACACACACACACCACCACCACTACTCTTAGTATCTATAGAAGTCCAAAGTTTTCCTTTGCTGTGGGTGGAGTCTCTTAAGAGAGGGTTACATATAGTTGGCATCTCTTTACAGAGGGTTAAGGAAGGTAGTTTAGAGGATTTTATCTGGCTTCAGAAGCTCCATATTTACAGGTTGGGGGCAACTTTCCAACTGTATCAAGAAGACCCAATGACTTTCCTGGTGACTTCTGGGCCCTGTGTCATCTTCCCACCTGAACCTTCATGCCATGGCCGCCTACTCTGATTTAATCAACGGTTCGTTACTCAGAGGAAGAATGTTTTTTCATTTGTGCTATTACCCTATCAAAGATAGGATGGAGGAAAATTAGTTCTTTCCACTTAGAGGAAAATAGAGAAATTTAATGGGAAGAAAAGGTACAAATTTTAAATACCTTTCAAATAACTTTTTGAGGCTAAACCTGCTCCATCATTTTTAAAAACAAATCCAGAATGGTTAAATGTATTATTTGGACAAGTCATGCAGCTAGGCAGGGGCAGGAGACCCATTAAAAAGTTAATTGTTGAATAGTTTTTGTAAAGATGACAAAAAAATGAGCTGACTCCTGATGACTATCTTTGGACAAATCATACCTCCTTCTGCCTCTTAAGAGGAAAGTTTGAGCCAACACCCCACCAAAATCAGAATGAGTGCTAGTATGGGAAAAGATATGGTTAGAGAGGACTCCAATTTTAATATAATTAAGTGCTTAGCTGTATTTTAAAGTTCAATTTCATTTTTCTTGAAGTCAGCTTACCTAAGTGTGCTTTTTATTATAGCCGGACACAAAATGAAGGCCACCCCAAATGGTTTGTTCTTGGTGTGGGGCAAGTCATTAAAGGCCTAGACATTGCCATGATGGATATGTGCCCTGGAGAGAAGCGGAAAGTGATTATACCCCCTTCATTTGCATATGGAAAGGAGGGCTATGGTAAGGTTAATATTTATATCTCTATGCTATATTTACAAATAAATCATAGACTTCTGGGTATATACCTAAAGGAATTGAAAACAGAGTCTCAAAGAGATATTTGTACACCCATGTTCAAAACAGGACTATTCACAAAAGCAAAAAAAGTAGAGATTACACAAGTGTTCACTGACAGATGGAGAAATAAAATGTAGTATTTACATACAATGGAATATTATTCAGCCTTTAAAAGGAAGAAAATTCTGACATACACTATACATTGGATAAACTTTTAGCACATTATGCTAAGTGAAATAAACTAATCACGAAAACAAATACTATGTGATTCCACTTTAATTAGGTACCTATAGTAGCCAAATTCATTGACACAGAAAGAGAAAGGTGGTTGCCAGAGCATGGGGAGAGGACAGAATAGGAAACTGTTATTTAATGGGTATAGAGTTTCAGTTTTGCAAAATGAAATAGTTCTGGAGATCGGTTGCACAATAGTGTGAATGTTAACACTGTACAGGTAAAATGGTTATACTAATAAATTTTCTCCCACTTAAAAATTTTTCAATCTCTATGAAAATTTAATATAAAATTTAAAATCCTAGAGGAAATAATTACAGAACTTTAGAATACAATGAACTTCAGCTGTATCCAATCCAGTCTAGCCCAGCCCCCTGTTTTTCCATATTAAAAAAAATTGTTGGAATATAGCTCTCTGGCCAGAGTTCCTCCCCCCACATAGTGGTAGCACTCATAATGATCATCTATATTCTATAAGCCCTACCTTTGTCACTTTTGCTTTTAGCATAATGTTTATTTATTTTTAACATAAAGGTATACACCTTCGATAAGCAGTACCAAAGTCAAATTTCTAAACTCTGGAAACTGGAACATAGGATTTTAGAGTAAAAGGACAGCACTGGAAAATAAGTAAAAAGAACATCTGAACCAGCTGTCAATTTCTGTTACCCAAAGTCAGGAGAAGCCTTGAAATGTAGAAGAACTGAACTGCTTCTTCCAATATCTTACCTATTTTTAAAATTCTACAATGAGATCTGAAAACTTAGGTAAAGCAGTTAAGTAGGGAAAGTGTTTGCAATACTCATGAAGACTCCTAATAACAAATAATAAAACAAATCATCCTTAGAAATATGCAAATTTAGAAACAAGTGCCCCACTAACAAAAAAATATATGATACAAATGACCTTTAAATTTATGAGAATACTTAATTTTATCCATAATTAAAGCAAGGGAAATTAAAACAAAAGTGAGGCACCATTTGACAACTTTGCTCATCTGCAAAGGCGTAGAAGTTGGCAAAAGTATGGAAAACCAGTAGAGTCATGCATTATTGCTGAGAATGTAAACCATTTGAACTCGCTAGTGATTTCTATCAAAATTTAAAATGTACATGTCCTCTGACTCAGTAGTTCCATTCCCAGGAACGTGCACAAAGATATATGTAAAAGAATATTCATTGTAGTCTTTTTTGGTAGCAAAAGACTCATTAACAGTAGTGATTCCCTCACCTCTTGTTCCCAGCAAGAGCAAGGGATGACTGCTCCTACCTGGAGTAGAGGGAGGTTAGTGGTGCAAGTCACACCCAGTCAGGCTGAAAACTCCTCAAGAGACAGTTCCAGACAACTACAGCTTCATTTTCAATGCTTTGTACCATTCGGGCAAGAAAATAGCTCCCACTGACTATAATTTGTATATCCTGTTTTTACTTGTAGAGGAAGCTAGGAGAGAGATTTAAGAATTGAAGATAAGTTAAATTAAATGCAGTAATTGTCCTAAAAATGTGATAGGTTGAAGCCAATTCTAGGTATGCAAGGTTTGCCTTGCAGTCTCTTTAATCTCATTTTCAGAATTTCTTTCTTGTGCTGGCTCATCAGATGCCTCCACACGCTGCCTACTACCACTGCTCCCGCTCCCCTGTCAGCCTAGAGCACCCACATCCCTCAGTACCAGGTACTCATCCTGGGTCCCATTACCTTAAGGCAAAAGACTAGTTTATCCTTTTTGTAGACTAATTTATGCTTGGATATGAATGACTATGCAAGCTGCCTAAACTATTAATAAGTGAAACCCCTTTGCTGCAGAGAAGTAGAAATTCGACTTGAAGTTGGTTCATATTCAATTTTAAGTTCATATTCAATATTCAATTCAATTTCTCCAATAAACATAAAAATAATGAATCCCACTAGTAATACCACCAACACTCCCAGTTTACACATTAGGAAACTGAGGCCCAAAGTGTGTCTTTTAGAATGCAATTAACTGCTAGTTTACCTGCATGCAATAGCTTAGATTAGATTGTTTGAAAAGTTGCAGTATAAACCATAAGTAAGTGCTTAACAAAACTTCTTGATCAAATAAGCTTTTGAAAATGAGTTGTTATGAAGAGCTAACATTAGTCATAACTTTGTTTTAGGTAGTACTTGAAGAAGTCTTTCTTCTGCGCAAGGCCCTTGCCTCATATTGCAGAGCACCCCTGCATGTCTCCAAATGCATGTGACTTGTTAGTGCTTAAATTAACAATACATGTGGTATGTATAGATTCTTTACATTAACTCCTATGTCTTTGATCTCCTCTAAATACAAGTAATTCTGCAGCAAATGCACATTTTTCCCTTTATACCATTTTTTGTAAGAAAAAACCTAATTGGCAATAATTTCTAGGTGTACGGTAGAATTATTCAGAAACTTTAACATGTAATATTTTTTAAGAAATTGGAATTTGTTTTAAATCATTTTCAGAAGTTATTTTTCTGACATAAGAAGATTGTAACTGGACAGAATAGGAATGAGTTTTGTAAAACTGATGGTTGGCTCAATCTCTAGCTCTTGTACCCTAAAATCAGGAACTCTGTGCTGCTTTGGCTAGAATGGTCACATTAGTAATGAGATGCATGAGTAGATCTTTCTGTGCCTGGCTTTGGAGATGACTGATCCATCTCTCCTTTTGGCTGTAACTTTCAAACTCTTTTCTCTTTGGATTACATAAACATTTTCTCTTTTTTATTAAAGAAATTACCATTTTCTTCAAGAGCAAAATTAGCCATTTTTAATTTTTTTATTTTTAAAAGATTTTTATTTATTTTTAGATGGAGAAAGAGAGGGAGAGAAACATCAATGTGTGGTTGCCTCTTACGTGCCCCCTACTGGGGACCTGGCCCACAACCCATGTGCCCTGACTAGGAATCGAACCAGCGACCCTTTGGTTCACAGGCTGGCGCTCAGTCCACTGAGCCACACCAGCCAGAAAATTAGCCATTTTTTAAATAAAGGATAGCAGAGATGTCATTCATTCAACAAATATTTGAGCAGCTAGAATCAGGCACTCTGAGAGACTATGAATACACAAGCTATCCACTGCCTCTTAGCAAATCATTTCTACAGGTTATTTTTATGAAATGATTATCCGAAATAGCCAATAGCTTACTAAAATGATCTGTGAAATCAGTTAATAGGTTGACTTTATTAAGGAGAACTATTCAACTTAATACTTAACATGTTTTATTGTGTTTAGAAATTTCTTCATAAAATTGTTACTGATTTATTCTGTCATCGCATTTATTTTTTAATATCTACAGAGAATTTGAGAGACAGCCCTGGCTGGTTGGCTCAGTGGGTAGGAGCATCATCCCATATATGGAAAGGTCCAGGGATTGATTCCCTGGTCAGGGCACATATCCAGGCTGAGGGTTCAATCACCTATCGGAGCATGTATGAGAAAGCAACAAATCAGCATTTTCCTCTCTCTTTCTCTCTCCCCCTCCCTCCCTTTCTAGCTCTCTAAAAAGCAATGAAAAATTATACTTGGGTGAGGATAAAAAGAAAGAATTTGAAAGACAAATATATTGATATATATGTTTTATTTATGCTCCTAAATAACTATACAAAATCATTTTCTAAAATATTACTGATTTGTGCTTTGGATTTTTCTGCCCATGAATTTCTTCTCTGTACCAGCTCTCATCTCTACAATGCTAGGTATATTAATAAAAATTATATGATTTATATTTATTATAATTTAATTGGGAAATAATGGTCCCCTAAGTCCTTAACACTGATTCAGCTTAAAAACATATGAAAAAAATCTCTAAAAAGTATTTAGAATAGAATTTTTATAAATATAAAATAATATAATCATAATGCTATATTGGCTATTTGTGAATAAATATTTGAACATTATCTTCATGTAAGTTAAAACTGTTAAAATTTATACTTTTAGCAGAAGGCAAGATTCCACCTGATGCAACATTGATCTTTGAGATCGAACTTTACGCTGTGACCAAAGGACCAAGAAGCATTGAGACATTTAAACAGATAGACACGGACAGTGACAGGCAACTGTCTAAAACCGAGGTAATTCAGACAGATTTCACGTGTGTGATCTCATTTTTTAATCACAGTTTAAATCCATCTTTGTACTATTATTTTTTTACTTTTACCTCGTGCAGGCCAATTATTTAGCTTTTAATAGAGCTGGTTACAAAAAAAGCTAAGTTTTAAAAAGAAAATGTGCTTTTCAATACAAAACTTGTAACTGAGTCATTCTGTTCAATTTCTTTTCTCTGTACTAGAGGGTCATTAACATACCAAACTAATCTCCAGGGGGCATTTACAGCATCTAGACTATAGGAGCAGATCTCTTTCAAGGAACACTGTAGGAATTTCTAACAGGGCAAATAATATATTTTGCTATATGTAATGCACACTTTTTGCTCAGATTTCTGAGGGGAAAATAAGGATGTGCATTATACATGGGTATAATGATTACATACCATAGGTATAATAATGGATACAATAATCCCATGTGTAATGCACACAAAAACATAAGTGTGCATTATACATTGCAAAATACGGTAATTACGACTTCATAAGATTGTGGAGACTACATGAGATTATGAAAAAAGCTACCAAGAATTTGAATTGTTTAGACTGGAAAGTTAGTAAACAGGACCCAGAAGTTCAGCTACCTAGCTTCTGCACCCCACTTGGTCTTATATATATGAGTTGAAAGATTAATAAAGATCTTGGAATAATAATTTTTTTCACACTTCCTCAATACCAGGTATAATTATAAACTCAGTAGTGTGTGATCTAATTTAATCTTGACAATCTGAGGAAGACACTATTGCCACTATCTCCATTTTATCAAAGGAGCAAATGACACCCAGACAGGTTAAGTAAGTAGCTTAAGGTCACACAGCTCTAGGTGGCAAAACCAGATTGCAGACCCAGCAACCTGGCTCTACTACTGTGCTCTTAACCATGGATCCACCCTGCCTCTTTCAGGGACTTTGCATCATGAATGTTTCAGGGCTAATGTTGAAGTCTGATGCCTTACACAGTCCCACTAACTATTCTTTTTGCTTAAATTGAGTAACCCAATTGTCTCCCCTTTCATTTGGAAGCAATTTAACATGTATAATTCTTATCATTTAAGTCAGTAATAAAAGGCAACTGGGTCATTTATTCAAGTGATAAATTTAAATCCTTTTCTTTTCTTTTTCTCTCCCTCTCCAATCTTTCCCCACCCTAATGCCACTTCCTCCTCTGAGATATCAGTAAGGACTGTGTCTGAAGCTCTTTGGCTGATCAATGACAGAAGAAGGATAAGAGAAAGGGGACATCCCCTTTTCCTTAACAGCAGCAATTAGAGAGATGGCAGACTATTCCCAGTACATACTTTCTGTCGATTCCCTATCACCCTGCAGGGGAGTCCAACCCACAGCCCCCAGGCCACATGCAGCCCAGGATGGGAATGAATGTGGCCCGACACAAAATTGTAAATTTACTTAAAAACTTTTTTTTGCTCATCAGTTTTTATTAATGTTTATATATTTAATGTGTAGCCCAAGACAACTCTTCTTCTTCCACTGTGACCTAGAGATGCCAAAAGGGTGGACAGCCCTGCTTAGAGAATGAACTGCAGCTGCAGATGCGTCCACAGGGTACACCAGAGCACAGCCTGTGCACACAGACCATCTACTATCACTGGCACACCAGCAGGCACCTTCTGCAATTTGACTGCTCCTCGGGGGACCTTAGGGGATCTTCCATTCTTTTCTGGAAAATAAAACTAGAGACAGTCCAAAATAGAGACCTGCTTAGCTGCATTTTGCCCAAATGTTTCTCAAGTATCAGGTTTTCGCTGCATTATCTCTAGATGGATAGGAGTGATTTTCATTTGCTTGATTTTTATGATAACAATAGCTATCTTTTACTGACATTTGTAAACATGATTCTAATCTTCACAGCAGTCCTAAAGTATAGATTCTATTTCCTTTCTTTCAAAGATGACAAAACTGAGGTTCAGAGAGGTTAAATTATTGGTCCCGAGGCTGCATAGCTAGTACACAGCAAAGCCTGGATTTCAAACATGAGCTGAAACTACTTTCCTTCATCATCAGAAAGCTGTAGTCAGTTATAATGTTTCTTCAGTATAAATAAGGTAGGGAGTAGGGGAATACGGCATTTTTATTAAGTTACAAAGTGGAAATGGTGTGGAACCCATTGCCAGAAAAATTAAAGGCATGCTTTTACCCACTCACTGCCTTTTTGTACCTCTTCACAGCACTGTCTTAAAAAAGTACATTTAGAGTCAACAATATTGGCTAGTAAAATATATTTCTTTACTTAGAAACTGAGAAATATTTGAGGCTATTTAAAATTCTTTACCACCTGCATAGGATTTTTAAGGCTCAGTTGGAAGAGAAAAATGTATCTCCATCATATAGGACCAAAGTCCCATTGGAGAATAGTTGATACGATCATTACGATGATCCATTCATTATGACGATCCTTCAGTGGATCCTTCATTACTATCCATTTATCATTCTGAAATCAAGTCTACTGCCTATGGACCAAGTTTGGGATATGGATTGCTAAAAACCTCTCAGGGTCCACCTTTAGCTCTTGCCCCTACAATGCCCAGCCTTGTTGAACGTTATCTCCAGATCACTGTGCATTGACTTCTTTAGTTATTATACATATTAGCTCTTTGCAATGGAAATATAATTGAGTCACATGTAATTTAAAATTTTTAATAGCCACATCTTACAAAAAAAGAAACAAGTGAAATTAATTTTAATGATATGTTTTAACTCATATCTAAAATATAACCACTTCAACATTAGATCAATATAAAAGCTACTGAGATATTTTTATTGTCTCCCCAGTTTGTTGTGTATTTTGCCATAACTGTAGCATATCTCACTTTGATTTAGCTACATTTCAAGTGCCTGTGACTAGTAACTACCATATTAGGCAGAGCAATGATGTATCTTTGCTTAGAAAACTGTCATATTATGTAGAGAAAAGGAAATATTTCAGAATACTTTTTATGTATTTGACATTACTATTAGAGAGATTATTGTAGTTTATACATTTGAGAGAGTTATGGAAGCATAAAAAAATTAGAAAATTAAATTTTATTTCAAAACCTGTGGTTGGGTTTCATTGATTATGCACCAATTTGTATTTTATTCACTAATGCTAATGGAAATCCTTGAGAGTGAATTCCTTTTGATAATGTGGACAGTATATGTTATTAGAAAACATTTAGTTTCAACATAATTCAATTCAGATATTAATCTTTGAGTATGTACCACTAACCTCAGGGGAAGCTAATTTGAAGATCTGCTTCTCTTCAGAAGATAGCTTCAAAGATTAAAAAAATAAAACCTCAAATACCCTTTGAAAATTTTGTATCACTTATTTTCTCTATTAAAACATTTCTTTAAAGTTAACTAAAAATGTATTGTGATACCTTCTTTTTTTTAGTTGTCGTTCAAGTACAGTTTTCTGTCTTTTACTCCCATCCCATTCCACGCCCCCAGTGCTCCTCACCTCCCTCCCATTTCCACCCCCTTCCCCAGTTTTTGTCCATGTGTCCTTTATACTTGTTCCTGTAAACCTTTGTGATATCTTCTTGTTAATGAAATATTATTTTGGCCCCCTAGATATATCATTACCTGAAAAAGGATTTTGAAAAAGATGACCAGCCACGTGACAAGTCATACCAGAATGCAGTTTTAGAGGACATTTTTAAGAAGAATGACCATGATGGTGATGGCTTCATTTCTCCCAAGGAATACAATGTATACCAACATGATGAACTGTAGCATATGTTTATTTCTCAATTGTTTTAGCTACTTACTGTACTTTGTATATAAAACAAAGTCACTTTCCCCAAGGTGTGATTTCTATTTTTCCCTATGAGACCGTATTTTGATCTCCTCCATACATGTAACTTTTGAATAAATGTGAGGCTATTTTGCAAATGTAGTATTCAGGAATGGCACAATTGTGTTCGCTATTGCTTTATTCTGTGAACATGAGTGACAGCACCATGAAATCGACCTCTGTGTCCCAGTGGGCAATTTCCCCCCTTCAGGAAATAGGAGGACATCTGTGTCAAAATCTGCACAATTCTTCCCAACTCTTACCTTAACAGCACATAGAAATATGTAAGTAACCATTTTTTAATATTTTAAATGTTAAAATGCCCCATATTTAAGTTTTTTTCATTAGGGACCCAGGAATTAACATTTCAATGTTTATACATTTCATAGCATTACTGGTAGGTAGTATATAAAAATCATAGGACTGAAGGTTCTTGTTTTGGTATGCATGCAGGAAAATATAAGTTGTGTAACTATCCCACAGAGAGCCTCAACACGGTCTCTGCACTTTTTGGTGCAAGCTTTTGGCTTTAGGTGTTTGTTCCAAAGGAGAGTGTTTAAAGATATTTGATCAGACCAAAGGCTTTGTGCCTCTTTCAGCAGGCATAATAGACTCTATACTGCTCTAAGTCTTGTACTCCTTCAGACATTATAAAATGCCACTCCTCTTCCTTCTTGTAGACCTTTACATCTACCATCCCTACCTTTTGTCTTGATTTTAATTGGTCATGGTAGTTCTTAGTTTACAGTCCCTTTTTCTAGGTAACTCTATCTTGTGTCACTTCATTTCTCAATGATTTTGTTATTAATTATCAACACAAATTGGCATGCCACCAAATTTTTTAAAATTATATATTTTTTATTATGCTGTTACAGTTGTCTCAATTTTTCTCCCTTTGTGCCCCTCCATCCAGCACCCGTACTTCCCTCAAGCAGCCCCACACCACTGTTCATGTCCATGGGTCATGCAAATAAGCTCTTTGGTTCCTCCATTTCCTACACTGTACTTTACATCCCCATGGCTATTCTGTAACTACCTATTTGTACTTCTAACAAATAGAAGTACACCTCTTCACCCATTCTCCCCCGCCCACTCACATCTAGCAACCATCAAAATGTTCTCTGTATCCATGATTCTGTCTCTGTTCTTTTCTGCTTAGTTTGTTTTTTAGATTCAATTGTTGGTATAGTATGTATTTATTGCCATTTTATTGTTCAGAATTTTGATATTCTTCTTTTTCTTAAATAAGTCCCTTTCACATTTTATATACTAATGATTTGGTGATGATGAACTCCTTCAGTTTTTTCTTGTCTTGGAAGCTCTTTATCTGCCCTTCAATTCTAAACTATACCCTTTCTGGGTAGAGCAATCTTGACTGTAGATCCCAGCTTTTCATGCTTTGAATATTTCTTGCCAGTCCCTTCTAGCCTACAAAGTTTCTTTTGAGAAATCAGCTGACAGCCTTATGGGAACTCCCCTATAAATAACTAACTGCTTTTCTCTTGCTGCTTTTAAGATTCTCTCTCTATTTTTAATCTTTGACATTTTAATTATGGTGTGTCTTGGAGTGGGCCTCTTTATATCCATCTTGTTTTGGACTTTCTGTGCTCTCTGGACTTGCATGTCAATTTCATTCACCAAATTAGTGAAGTTTTCTTTCATGCTTGTTTCAAATAGATTTTCAACTTCTTGCTCTTTCTCTTCTTTTTCTGATGCCTCTGTGATAAGAATGTTGGAATATGTTGGAACACTTGAAATTGTTCTAGAGGCTGTTTATACTATCCTCATTATTTTGAATTATTTTTCCTTCTTGTTTTGTGTGGTTGTTTTTTGCTTCCTTATGTTCCAAATCATTGATTTGATTCTCAGCGTCACCTACTCTACTGTTGTTTCCCTGTAAATTGTTCTTTATTTCAATTAGCGTATCCTTCATTTCTGACTGGATCTTTTTTATGCTGTTGAGGTCCTAAGTTCCTTGAGCATCCTTATAACCAGTGTTTTGAACTCTGCATCTGACAGATTGCTTATCTGTATTTTGTTTATAGCTTTTTCTGGAGTTTTGATGTATTTCTTTATCTGGGCCATGTTTCTTTTTGTGCTCATTTTGGCAGCCTCCCTGTTTTTTGTTTCTATGCATTAGGTAAATCTGCTATGACTCCCTGTCTTCGTAGCATGTCCTACTGTAGTAGGTGTCCTTTAGGGTGCAGTGACACAGCCTCCCCTATCATGCAAACTGGGTACTCAAGGTACACACTTCATATGGGCTAAGTATACCCTACTTTTCTGGCTGAGCCTTGATTGCTCTCAGCAGGTCAATGGAGGAATTTACACAGGCTAGTCAGCTGCAAGGACTGGCTATGACCACTGACCACCAACCTCTGCCCTGTATAGAGGATTAGCTGTGCAAGGGGCAGGGTGGTGGTGCTCCAATGTGGTCTGTAGCTGTCCACTGAGTGCAGAGGCTCTGGGGCTTCCCAGGTGGTACAGGCCAAGGTCAGCCCCAACTTGTGTTCTGCTCAGGGCCACTCTGCGTGAGTTGTAAAGCAATCTGAGATGACTGCTACTTGTGCTGGGCTTGGAGATTCCCAGGTGAAACCAAGCTGTGAATCTAGGCTGGCTGCTGCTTGTTCTGGGCCTGGTGCCACTTAGCAAGACGTATGGGGACTGGAGGCTCACTGAGGCCGTCTGTAGCTTGTTTGATAGGACTTAGGAAGTTGTGAAGCATGAGCCAAGACCAGCCATTCAGATGGAAATGTCATGCTTAACAGTTTGGGTGGGCTTGTAGTGTGGGTGGGACAGAGTCTCAGGGGATCTCCAAGGCAGAGTCTCAGATATGGAACCTGCATGCTTCCTGTGACTCTGAGGGGGGAGGACTCAGAAAAGGGTCAATGGGCTTTGCTCACCTTTCTCTCTGGAAGAAAGCTGTCCCCCAGTTCCTGCCTTGTTACCAGACACTTCAGTTCCTCCCTGTATGCCTCTGGTGCCTTTCAAGCTGCTACTCTGATGCTGGAGCTCAGAGAGAGTGAATCTAAGTCTGTGTGTGGGTTCTTTAAGGGGAATTGCTTGAGATTCTAGAAGTTCCTTCCACCAACTTAATCCCTGCTGTTTTTTTGCAGCCAGGTTATAGGACTTATCTTCCTGGCACTAGAACCCTGGGCTGGGGGGCTGGGTGTGGGGCTGAGACTCCTCACTCCTGAGATATCCTTCCCAACTTTTTATACACATGTGGATGTGGGACCAGCCCATTCTGCATCTCCACCCCTCTTACCAACCTGAATAGATGTGGTTTCTTTAATTCCATAGTTGTCAGACTTTCAACTCAATTTCCATTGGCTCTGAGTGATGGTTGTTCTGTTTTAGTTGTCTTTTTGGTGTGGTTGTGTGAGGAGGCAAGCTATGTTTACCTATGCTGCCATCTTAGTTGAAAGGCACCATCCAATTTTTGATAAATTGTTGAATTTATTTTACACATGAGGCTATGTGAGAATATCAAATGAGGATACAAATGAGGATATACAACTATCTCTCAGAACTCTATGTTAAATGTTTTAAACATTTTCAAAGGAGAAAAGAAATAAATGTGCCATGGCAATTTTGTGTCATGGTCAAACCCTGACATGGTACAACTTTTTGAGAGTAAGACGTAAGAGATGTTTTGCTGTAGATCACATTGGTGCTAAAGAAAGGCTATGTATTTATTGGAACACGTTAAGTTTTTGTCTACTACATATGTAAGAAATTATAGTTAGGCAATAAATAGTTCTATTCAAAACAGGTGAGTTTAAAACTAAACTTTTTCCATCTTCTGAAACTTGCTCTTTCCAAACCATTATTCATTGTTCATCAAAATTCTGTTATTTAAAAGTGTGGGGATAACATAAAAACCCCCATACCAGTGGATGTCACATTTGCATAGCAGAGTTTGACACTTCATAAAATAAAAACTTTACCATGTTTTCTTTCCTTCCAGTATTGCATCATTCCTCTACTAATTTTATAACTTCTCCTTGAGAACTTGCTGGTTCATCAACTCTTTCATCCCTTTACCTTCCTCAGAAAAACCTGCTCAGTTGAAGTAAACTAAGTTGATAACTCAATGTTACATCTTGATTTGGAAACTGCCCCCATTTTCTTTACATAAAAAAGTCACTAGACCCTTTTTTGATTCGTATGCTCATATCTGCATTTGAATCCTACACTCTGCCTAAATCAGAAATACTTTGACATAAGATATAAATGGAAATTCTCAAAAAATACAAACTATCATTCTAACCTTTCTCTCCCATTGTTTTTACACAAAGTACTTTTAAACTTATGTTTTAAAAAATTACAATGGTATCAAATGAATATGGAGACTTACTATGAAAATAATCACATTTAAATAGTTAAAAAAATAAAATTTTAATCATTCTACACGCATATAGTATACAAGTAGCTCATATTTGCACAATTGTGTTACACCTTCATAGGCATATAGCTAATCGTGAGTGCTGTACTTACACACTTTTGAGGTCTAGAATTTGAACATATTATTTTTGCAATTATTTTCATAAGTGTATATAGTAAATTAATTTAGGTTGTTTCAGATGTCTTACAGAGCAGAAGAAAAAGATTTCTCAGAACTAAATATATAAAATGTTTTAAACATTTTCAAAGGAGAAAAGAAATGAACATGTCCTAGCTGTCTGAACTTTAAAATGACAGTGGTGAATTTTGTAAAGCCCAAACTGGCGAGCACATGTACAGTACAGAATAGCAGCCCATAACCACTCTCAGTCACCCTGTTAACTGTGTGCACAATGCCCCACACCGAGCTCGGTGTGCTTTTAATCTGATACTGCAATGAATCATTTAGGGTTACATTAAATTATTAACACATTTTTCTCATTTTACCAGACATAAGGCAATACTTAAAGCACCATAAAGTCACCTCTTATACATTCTTTTCATCCTTAAATTTAATTAAAAGCCAATTAAAATAAAACTGGTATTTCAAAAAAACCTTTATGTAAAAGTTTCCTAAAATGGTAGACTAAATCCCCAAAGTACTTCTAATACGGCTGGCAGATTTCATGGACAAACATCTACATTCTTATATTTAAGCCTTTTTTTAAAATATTTTATTTATTTATTTTTAGGGAGGGAAGGGAGGGAGTGGGAGAGAGAAAGAGAGAGAGAGAGAGAGAGATCAATGTGCGGTTGCTGGGGGTTATGGCCTGCAACCCAGGAATGTACCCTGGCTGGGAATCGAACCTGGGACACTTTGGTTCCCAGCCCGCGCTCAATCCACTGAGCTACATCAGCCAGGGCTATTTAAGCCTTTTTTAAATAAAAAGTATTAACCTTCATGACAACTTATGAGAAGATTTTATCATTATTATCATCTCCACTTCATAGATGGGGAAAATGATGCCCAGAGAGATTAATTTCTTTTTCCTCTCCCTCTCTAACTTGCCACAGTTCATCAAAGAGAACCTAGAGAATTTTGGAAAGGTGTGTGGCACCTTTGCACCTTAAACACAGGCAAAGTACATTCATTTTTCATTTTATTTCATTCTCTTGTGCCAAACATCAAAGCAAGGAACTGCATGAAGTCGCACATACTTCTGCCCATCGACAGAGCACTGAAAGCACCCATAAACCGTCTCCCTTTTCAAGTTTCCCATTCCACAGAGAATGCAAGGTCCTTTTGGAATGTTGTGATTGAGTAAGTTAACTCGGATGTGGGTCCCTTCTTTGAGGGAAATGTCAGTCATGCTGAGAGGTTTGTCATAGTAGTCAGAAAAAAGATCATCTAAGTAAAGTTGTGAACGAGAAATGACATCCATCACTCTTCTATCTAAAGGGACACAAACAGAGAAATGTGTCAGAAGTCAAATAAAAAACCATATAACAACTGCATTTATAATCACATGAATCTAAACAACTAGTCATGAAATAATTTGGCTTTTAAATTTAAATTCCTAATAGGCAGGATTACTAATAGACAATCTTAAGTGTTAAGCCCAGAAGTTAAAAAAAAATGCATTTGAAATACTGTTCAATGGACATACTTCTTTCAAAGAGTATATTTCTCAATCTGTAGAAAAATGCAAATGTTGCTGCTTCTTCCCTTTCAAATCCTCCTTTTGACACTGAAGTGACGCAAAGGTCTACAAAAGAAAAGTAGAAGATGTTATAACTTGAATTCATATTTTGTGGTTGATGTAGTTGTGGTTGGTGAATTCTGGTACCTGCCAGTCATTGCATCTTTTACATTAAATTTTACATTTTTTTAAGAAAAAGGTAATACTCAGATGGTACAAAATTCAAAGAGTACAAAAAGGGGATACAGTGATAAAGAAGTCTCCAGTCTACACTGACCCCAGCCTCAGTTTTCCACCCCAGAGGTAACCAACTATTAACTTTCTTGTGTTTCCAGAAATGCTCCGCATATTTTACAAGTATAAAGGAGTATGTATGTATGTATGTAAAACCCTTTAGGATCAAAAAGTTACAAACTGCACACATTTCTTTCAAATACCTCTTACAGATTATTCGATGTCAGGATATGTAGTGCTATTTCATTCTTAGTATTCTGTTGTGTGGATGCACATTATTTAACCAGTTGCTGATAATAGATCTTAAGGTTATTTACATTCTTCTACTATTACAAACTGAATATCCTTATATCCTTATCATTTCACACATGCAACTATATCTATAGGATACATTTCTAAAAGTGCAAGGCTAAAGTATATGCACACTTTAAATTTGGATGCATATATCAGCTCTATCAGTTCATACTCCTTCTAACTATCAATATAATTGTAAAAACCTGTAGCTAAAGTGTCCTGAATAGCATTTACTTTGCATATTTTATTTTGTTTCTGGACTCCCCCTTCTCTCCTCCCACAGAACTGCAGAAACAAACATAAACAGGTCTAAAACAGTTTAGAAACGACCATGGCTAGAGCACTCATTGCCTGGTCATGTGGTCTGCCCCTGGACTTGAGCTGGCTGGCCTACTAACCTTGAAGGTCTTTGAAGTACAGAAATCTAAAGTGAGCTGCACTGAGGTATTACATAAGGAGACAACGTTAAAGGAAGTATTTGTACTTCTAAAGTTATTTTTAGGGAAAGTTTGGGGGGAAAGCCATGATAGGTAAAATTAAAGTTTTCTTTGGGCCCACTTGTTTGGGTGCTCTGACATCTTCAGACATGATACTATCTATTTACTCCTCTATTTGCCAACATCAAAAAACCATCTATTAGAAGGTCCTGTATTATCTCACCGTGTAGGTCAAGAAATAAATACTTTTGTCAGTGGATTGCATCTTAGCTCTTATCTGTAATTGTAAGTGGGGCAGTAGGAGTCTAGAGCCTTTACCACAGAGCAGGGAAGACGTACTGGGCAAGCAGGGCTGCAGGTATCACCCAACTACTTCACCAAACATAAAATTGACGGTGCTGAGAGCATCATTCTGCTATAAGTAGAGAGAAAGGGTGTGTGTGCGTGTGTGTGTTTCCTATTAACTTCTTAAAAATTTAATTCAGTGTTTCATGTAAGTCATTCACTTACCAAAGGCACCATCCAAGTAAATGAAGAGTTCGAAAACACTGAAAGCTATGGTTGTATGTGCTGGAAAAACAATAGCTTTGTCCCTTCCCTTGGGATTCTGTTCATCCATAAAGTGAAACTATAGTAAAAAAAAATAACATTATTAAGGAGCATAACCTGTAAGGATAGCTTTTTGAAGAAACAATCCCACCAAAAACAAACAAACAAACAAACATAACACTTCTCCAAGTAAAGAATTGTCCTACTCAAACTTTACAGCAAAGGTACAAATGGTCCAATGGGAACTCATGTTCTATGTTCAGGAAATACTACTCATCACTTCCTCACTTACTTTGATAGTGGAGCCAATGATTAGAGCTACCACAACAGTAAAGCTCTAGGGCATAAAAGCCTTTCTCTTTCAACTGCAAACCAACTATACTTAAGTGAGATAGCTTTTTTAGCCTATTCTGTCTACTGTTCCAAAGCCCCCAGAGCTTCCAGCAGCTTTCCCAAGCAACCACTAACAATTAAGTAATTGTTCGAGCCCAAACCGTCCAACGTTAAACAATTTGGTGGGCAGCTAAATGCAGCCTTTATTTTCAAAGACTTGAAAAGATTATCATTGAATCCTACCTTTCTAATAATTTGTTTTAATAAAACCAATCAAGTCATTATTATATGTCATTATTATGTGAATGACAAGGACAAATATAACTGATAATAATTAAACACAAATTACTTTCAACATTTTTTAAAGGGTTTAACATTGAACGAAGTAATTTTACAGACAATATTATTTTAGAAAAATTAATATAAAAATATGAATACAACTTTTAAAATTTAAGTATAAGCTACATCACTTAAAAATAAAATCAACAAATTCACAAAAGTATCTAATTTTTAATTCTTAAAACAGCATTTAAATACAATAGGAGGGATGCCCATTATTTCACAAGGACTGGTGTTTTGTTTGCTTTATATTACACATGTTGAGGATGCAATTTTCTTGAATTTTCACATTCTAAAAACCATTACTGTGCAAAATCCTATATATCATTGCAGCTCTTCAATCTCAACATTTGACAAAATACACAAGTCTCATTAGCAATTGAGTACTTTTCAAAATATTCCCCTTGCCACTCTTCAGTAAAAGAAACCTAGATGAGTGTGGCTTTACCCTCATGGACTCCCCACGAATCCCAGCGTGCACGGACAGGGAGCACTGCCGCGTGGTCCGGATGCTCTCCATGACCACGCACAATACTGCCTTTCTGCTGCTCCTCGACTGCCGTATCAAGCTGTGGTCAAAATTAATTTTTCTAAAATAAACAAGAGAGACATTCACAAGAATCTATACCATCTGGTTACATACGATCCAGTACATTTTTTTGCCAGCATGTTACTCATTCACAGTCTACCTTAACTAAATTTGAGTAAATCAAAGTAGGCTTAATACATGTCAGAAAATAGGCTTGAAAGAAATTTAATAATCTGCCTCTCCTTTCTATTTTCTTAAAATATGCTTATGCCCTGGCTGGTGTAGCTCAGCGGATTGAGCGCGGGCTGCAAACCAAAGTGTCGCAGGTTCGATTCCCAGTCAGGGCACATGCCTGGGTTGCAGGCCACAGCCCCCAGCAACCACACATTGATATCTCTCTCTCTTTCTCCTCCTTCCCTCTCTAAAAATAAATAAACAAAATCTTTAAGACAAAAACAAAAAACATGCTTATTACAGGAGTATGCTGGAGAGACTCTCTTAGCATACTTGTTGTAAGCAGATTCCTGTATTCTTTTAATCTAATAATTTAGCAAATCTGTTCACATTCAAAGCAATTTTGTGGGACAATTAAAAAGTCTGTCTAAACCAAATGGTTTTGGATATCTACTCTTATCCAGAGTTTGGATATATTAGTAATTTGTATTATTTCAAACAAATATATTACAATAGTAAAGTATAACATGAATATTTTAATAATTCTTTATAATTAGTTCACATAATTAAAATATTTGATGAAAACACTAAAGTATATAACAATTATTATACTGACCGTGTAGTAATTTCCTTGAGTAATGTTGAAACTTCTACTTCGTGTTTAGTTACCACACCAAATGAAGCTCTGACTGCAACAGAATCTGATCCAGCAACGTTAATCCCAACGTCATTCACAATATGGTTGCCTCGCCTTCCATAGAGTGAAACATCTGATTCGTCTTCATAATTCAGTAACTGATAAGATGAAATACCTTTTAAAAAAAGAAAATTAGTATTTTTCAAATGTCATAAATTCATCTAAAGTAGATTGCATATAGTAACACATTAATTTACCGTTTAAGACATGATTACCCAAATGTTGAGAAAGGCAATGTTTTAAACCAGGTTTAAAAATAGCAATTCAATTAATTAGAAAACAAGAAGAAATAAATAGCCAGAGTACTTAAAATGAACTCAAATTCAACAGAACTTCTTAAGCATCCAGACCCACTAGGTAGTTGAAAGGAAAACAGGTGTTAAGAAATAATTTTTCAAAATATCAATTTATTTTCTAACCTAGTCTGTAATATATTTCAGTTTGCCAACTGTAAAGTGAATCATAAAAAAATAAATACAAATTACTTTAATCTCACTTGACCATATGAGATAGGTAGGACTAAATAATACCTCCATTTTATAAATAAATGTATTATGTCATATTCTACATTGATTTGGTTAAAACAATTTATAAAATAATTAAAATTAAATTATACAATAATAATCTTATTAAAAGGTTTGAAAATTATTTGATCAATAAAAGATTTCATACTATTGTAAACTTTAGGCACTGTTAATCATAATAATATTACTGCCATAGTAATAAAAGTTGCTTTTATCAATGAAAATGTACAAATATTATGAACATAAACACTCAGATGGGCCAAGTTCAGATTACCAATAATATAGCTAAATGAGGAGTCACTCCCAAACACACATTTAAACTTACCAGCTGAAATTTCTCGGTCTCCTAGAAGAATATCTTTCAGTGTAAAAGGTGTCGAGGTAAATTTACATCTAGGAAACAGAAAGCATCGTTTCTTTTTTACCACCAGACTTAGAGGTTGGTATTTGTCAGCCTCACTAAGGCTTGGAACTGGAACTAATCTCCCTCCATCTCCAACTTGCTTGACAAAGCTCTTGGTAGCAGCAGCAAACATATTAATCCAGTGTCAAAAAGTCATCAACTGCACCCTTCAGATAACAAATCCATATTTTCAAAGAAAACCAGGCACAGAACTAAGGCTTACTTGATTTTAAATATAATTATACATGTTAAAAATACAAAGCATGGTTCCACCAAGTAGTTTACAGTGTACTGTTCACAACACTGCCTCCCCTGGTGTGCTCAGGTGATGAATTATAGATCAAGAGTGTAAAATGATATACTAAGAGTACGTGTAATTTGAAATTGCAGTCTATAGCACTACAATAAACACAGAAAACTAGTCATTTTCAAATACTACCAATGTCCTTAAAGAAGGTCAAGGTTAATAGCAGTTTGCCAGTTCTGAGGGAAACATATAGCTCTGTGTCCCAGAGGGAACAATGCCATTAGGCACTAACATTCTCCCCGGACACCAGCTACAGTATACCTGGTCCAAATGAAATTCCTTCGCACGTCCATCATGCCAACTTCATGATGCCAACATCGTGGAAACAAAAGAGTGTTCTTTTTAATCCTTATATTATACAATTTATTGTTTGAACATCTCATTCATTTTCCTTGTATGATTATAAAACCAAGTGACTAATATAATAAAATCACAGACTTAAAAAAGATTGTGTGCACTAGGGGCGGATGGAAATGGGAGGGAGGTGGGGAGGGCAGGGTGGGTGGGCTAGGATGGGAGTAAAAGATAGAAAATTGTACTTCAACAATTAAAATAAAATTTAAAAAAGACTGTATGCAGATCTTTATAAAATACTAAATGAAAACCAAATTATATGTAAATAACTGTATAAACTCTGACATATGGGTTTCCTACTCTGAAGATGGCACTTGGACATCTCTTTGAATGGAGATCCTGCTGCATTTATTTTTCATCATTATTATCCCAGTTACTCAACCTTTAAAGAGAACTATATAAGGTTTTGGCTTGTTTTAAAGGAGTCTGGTGGCTAAAAATACATGTTAGAAACATATGAGTGCTGAAAATATTGTACTGCCATAGTTATGTAGATGTTAATATACAGAGCCCGTCACAAATAACACCCCTTTTTTATAACAAAATCATAAACCTGTAATTCTGTAGCATAACAGTATCACACTCAAGCACACCATATGACATTTTAGGTGAAATGACAAATTAAAACTATAAATTATTACATCCATATTATTACCCTACAACCACACTCAAACAGGCCTTACTTTCTGCTGGACCCTGTATTTTGAAATAGTAGCTATGTAGTATTCACAAGATACTCATTAAAACAGAACATTAGTGGACAGTAATCAATACACATACATATATGACGGTAGGGGGAGGAAGAAAGAATGGGTTTAATTCAAGCCTCAAATAATACAAATCAATTTGATTAGATTCTGGACACTTTTTTAATATTTGCTTTCAAATATCCAGGGCTTGCAAGGACCCCCAAAGATCAGTTTTTAATAATGTCCCTTCTGCGAATATTATTGTTCAAAGGAATTTTCCAGAACACCGGGAAAGCACATGGAGTCATTTCTGCAAGTGGCTGGCAAACTCCTAGAGAAGCGATTCGGCATCCAATGTCGCTGTCTGAGCCCTGCCAAAGGTGGTGCATCCCACACATCCCAAACGCCATTACAAAGAACACCACAGGTGTGCAGAAACAGTATTTAACTGAAATCCGGTCCACAGAAAAGCCTTCTTTTACACCTAAAGGGCTTTGCTGGGATCTGCAGACCCAGCATTTATCTCGCGACGAAAGCCTATTATAATAGACAATGAAGCCCATGAGGCAACAGAGATGGTGGGGATTGTCTCTGGACGTCCCGCAATGTCCTAAAGGCTGGACTCCGAGGGAAGAGCCCACCGCAGCCATCAGAGACTGATATACCACGTCTCCAGTGTCGGAGCCAACCCCAGGAATGCTCTCTATTTGCATTTGGAATTTTGAAATCTTTTTCTTAAAGCGACGCAGCCCTCATCCTTCCCCCACGCAAAAAAGAAAAAAAAAAAAACACGAAAGGCTGAGCTTCAAGCCCTACAGACTCTGTGAGGTTTGCCACCCGACAAGCCTCCCCGGGCAGGAAACGGGCCCCTTCCAAGGACACAGAACTGTGGCCTTGATGAGGCCGGAGGACTGGATGCACAGAAACCCCAAAACCGCACGGTGGGTAGCGCTTGGGTTGGGAGAGGGGGTGGGATTTGGAGGAAAAGGGGCAGGGCCGGGCGCTGAGGAGATTGGGAGCCGGTGGGCGGGGCCAGGATTGGAGAAGGGCCGGGAACCCGGCCAGCAAGGAGGTGTGGCCGGGAACCCGGACCGGCGTTGCCGCACGGAGGCCCCGCCTCCGCCCCCACCCGTCCCCTTGTCCCCTTTGCAAGAGGGACGCCGGAGGGGAGCATTGAGGGAGGGGGTCGGAGGAAGAGAGGAAGAGAGTTGGGGAGGAAGAGGCGGCGGCTCTGGAACACTTCTCTCAGGGATCGTCGACCCAAAGAGCGAGGACGTTGATTCCCGCCGCTCTTCCTCCCGCCGAGCCCTCCCTTCTCACCATGTCCCAAAGCCGGCATCGGGCCGTGGCCCCGCCGCTGGAGCGCGAGGACAGCGGGACCTTCAGGTCAGCGCACGGGCGGTCGGGCCGCAAGTGGAGGGGGGGCGGAATGCTGGGGAGGCGGGGGCGGACCACCCGGCTCTCCAGCAGCATTGTGGGTAAAGCCCCTTCTGATGCTCGGGCCCCTCACGGCTACGGGCAGTCTGGCTGGCATTCGGCCCCTCCCTCTTGGCAGCGCGCGGGCCGAGGTCTGCGGCCCGGCCCCGCCCCTCTTGCATCCTTCCTTAGCATGTAGAGTGGGTGGAGGTGGTTCGCGGCCTCCCGGGGTTTGGGATTTGTGGGTTAGTCCTGAGAGGCTGCGGCACTTCTGTTCCCCAGCGAATCGGCTCTACCCTCATTCAAGTTACCTCCCTAAAGACGTTCCTCACTCTGCATCCCCCTGCTCTGTGCCCGCCGCAGTGGGGCCGGCAGATGGAGCACCTTGCCAGCTCTGGCAGCCGGAGGGAGCTTTGGCGCCTCTCGCGTCACTGTTGGTGATGGTCAGAACTAGCCTTGGTAGGCTTCTGCTTCCCTCCCCGCTTTGGCATGCAAACCACACCTTTTTCTCTTGGCAGTTTGGGGAAGATGATTACAGCTAAACCAGGGAAAACACCGATTCAGGTATTACACGAATACGGCATGAAGACCAAGAACGTCCCTGTTTATGAATGTGAAAGATCCGATATGCAAATACACGTGCCCACTTTCACCTTCAGAGTAACCGTTGGTGACATAACCTGCACAGGTCTGTATGCACAGTTAACCCCCGACGACCATGCGGGTTGGCGGTCCAGACTTGGTATTGCTTATCAGTTGGACAAGTGCCTTTCTTACTCAAGGCAGTTGTGAGAAGCAGGTTCTTGAAGCACCTCTCATCTCAGGCCATTGGGATTTTACAATTTCATCTGATTCTCTCCCTAATTTTCTCTTTCCCAGATACCAAGAGAAACTCAGAAACATCCTAGGATCCTCCTAGGGTTCTTCTCCCAAGAATTAGGGAGAATCAGGAAAGGTTCTTGGAGCAGCCGTAGCTGGATCAGTAGGTGCTGTCAAGTTTTATAGTTTCATAGTTTATAACAGATGCCAGGGGGCATGACCCTAGAATTTTCTGAGCCTCTCACCTTTCCGTATGGACTCATTTGGCACTTTGGGCTCATTGTACCACATTCGATCCCATAGCCAAGCAAAATGAGGAAGGCAAAAGGCTCAAATACTCTATATTGATTGCATAGCAACTTCTAGTTCCTGACACTGTACAGATGTTTTAATAAGCTCTTATCTCTTCATTTGATACATGGGGAAGTAGGCTCATGGAGATAAGTAACATGCCCAAGATCCAATGGCAATGATGTTTCAGAGCTCAAACTCACATTATTATGGTCTGTGAGTTTGAGCAAATTATAACTGAGGCTGCCCATTTGTAAAGGTGGACACTTTATTTCTTCTGCATCTATTTAATTGCAAACAATTGAATAGTATTGAATATTGAATAGTAAATATTGAAAAAATATTGAATAGTAAATTTAATTTGGAAGAAGTGCAAGAAAAAAATTCAGCAGGAAGGCTGAAGTTCTACCATCTGGTAATCTGAAGGCATCACTTGTGTTCCTGAAAATCTCAAGTCTGCCATTATCATTGAAGCCACTTTAAGACACTTTTAAAGTTTGTCTGTGTGAGGCTGGTGAATTGGAGGTATCATATGAACCATAGAATCAACAATGCATAACTTGCTTTACCTAGTCTATTTTTAAATATTATGTTAAAATTTCAGAAAAAGTGGTCTTTACCCCTTCAATGTGTTATAGACCAGAGATCAACAACCTATGGCAACCATTCTGCCCAGGCCCCATACTCTTCATACACTGCCTTATCTTCCTGTATAAGCCTATCTGCTCCGTAGCTTCAAATACTATCTAAAGGCTGATAATTCTGAAATGTCTCTTTCTTCAACCCAGGTCCAGTTACAGAATCGAGTATCAGCCTGTTTTGTCTGGATATTTCTGGTTGGATGGCCTAAAGACACCTCAGTCTCTCATTGACTCAAACTGAATCCACCTTCACTCTCAAATTCCCCCTGCTTTCCCTACCTCAGTAGAAGCACCACCATCCCCTTTGGTTCATAGTAGAAATTTGGGTCTCATCTCCTTGACTCATTCCCCTCCCTCTGACTCCTGTCCAATCTATCACCAAATCTTCCTAAATATCTTGCATCTGTCTGCTTCTCTCCTCTTCCCATTGCTACTGATTAGGCCACTGTCATCTTCTATTTGGATTATGGCTACAGTCCTGTAGCTGTTCTTTCAGTTTCTAGTCTTGTGTCCATTCTCCACACAACAACCAGAGTGTTCTTTCTGGAATTAAAGTCTGTTCATGTACTTCCACTTGTTAAATCCACCCATTAGTGTCCCCATAGCCCTCTGGGAT